GACACTGAGGGTTGCAATCCGTTGCCGGTCACGAAAAAAAGACAAAAAGACAAAAAAAAAAGAAAAAAAAATGATCCTCAAAATAATATGAATCTAAAAAGTATAGTTTATGTTGAACAGAGAATTATATATATATATACATATATGTGTGTGTGTGTGTATATATATATATATTTTTTTTTTTTTTTAAAAGATGACCGGTAAGGGTATCTCAACCCTTGACTTGGTATTGTCAGCACCATGCTCTTCCAAGTGAGCCAACTGGCCATCCCTGTATAGGGATCCGAACACGGAGACTTGGTGCTATCAGTACCACACTCTCCCAAGTGAGCCACGGGCCAGCCCCTGAGGATTATTAATTAGCCATAATCCTTGTTAGTTTAGTTGTTCTGTTGTAGTTAAATTCTGAAAGTTGAAGAAATGTTAAATTAGAATTAAGAAACAAATCTAATTACAGACTTGCTAAAAGATTAAATTGTAATTCTTTCTAATAAATAGTAACAGAATATACATTAGCAGAATTATCTGATACCTTTGGAATAAGAACAGTAATACATAATATGATAATAATAGCTGATATTTATTAATATGTGCCAAGTAGTTTTATAAGGACTTTACATGTATTAACTCATTTATTCCTCACAAAAATGTTATCCTCATCCTAATTTTACAGTTGAGGAAATAAAAATGATGATCAATCCCTTTAAACTAGCTCTAGTGAAGTGCTTCTTATTCCTAAATGACTTCTGTCACTGATTCAAATATGTTATTTTTAGTCTCTCACCACAGATTTTCCTGAAGTTTTCATTTCTACCTATTGCTGACATTACCCAAACAAAAGTTATGAGTTTAGTTATTACTTTACCTAATATGGCTAGATCCTTTTTTTCCCTTTGAAAAGTTTACATGCAGTAGTTTATAAAATTATTATAAAATCCCATTAAAAAATATAAAATCAATAATATTCTATTTAATGCATTCATCAATATGTTGGACTGATAATTGATTAAATTCAAATCACCTATTTTACATTTGTTTAATTTTTGTCATGATCTTTAAATTTTGTCACTGAATCTTACACTAACATTGAAAATTAGAACAATGGCATGAGATTAAACATAATACACCATATCGATCAAAGAGTTTAAGTGTTCCTTAATTAAAATATATACATAGCTAAATTTCACACACAGCTAGTAGAATTATATAATGGTTTTCTTCTCAGTGTCTTGGGACCTAGAAATACTTAAGGACACTAAGAATTTAAAGAAAGAGAATACAGGTAAGTTATCCACAGTGGACATTCTGGGCCTGAAATTCAAAGCCTGTGCTTTCAGTTTATAAGTTTTTGTTGCGTGTCACCTGATCTGATTTTCCAAGTATGAGGGTACTTCAAAAAGTTCATGGAAAGATTCGTATTACCTTTTAATTCTATTTTTCCGTGAAGTTTCTGAAGTACCCCTACATGCCCTCAATTCCCACAACACTGTGAGTTTTAAGGACTTATGTGATCAGGAGCAGAAAGCAAACTCTAAGAGATCCCTAAATGGCAAAT